ATTTAAAATGGCTGCGACCTCGTGTTCGTGATACGAATGGCGGCCACCCAGCATTCGTCAATTAAGCTGCGGTTAACCGCAGCTTCAGGGAGGTTAATTGCCGACACACTCTGTGACGAAGTGCCCTTCGCCACTTGTGCCTGGAGAGGACTGCTTGCCCGCCTCTTGCCCTGTGACTATGGCCCCTGGGATGTATTGCCCTTTAAAGACATGATTTGGGCATAATGGATTTTGTGTTGTGCTGCTGCTGGCCTTTAAAATTCATCTGGGGACATGCTGGCCCAGTTACTGGGTGGCCACCATTTCCTGTATCAGAAGCACATGGTGAGAACAATGGATGGCGGACATTTTAACTCACAGACACTGTTTGGACTTTTCAACACGGTGCCATCTCGCCAGTATTTGGTGCACAGAGACATCGTGCAGTGGTTTTGGACTATACAGCAGAGGACACATTATAAAGTGATTGTTTTTCATTTAGCCTGTATATGTTCTGCAGAATCTGCATTAAACTGTATTTTCCAAAGTACTGAACGGATCTGGGTGAATTTTGGATATGTGGTTCACCCAGATCCCCCGGTTCCAATGATATACTTTTTTATGGGGTTATTGCATGTTTTGGGGTCCCTGTGTGTTTTATGAAACTGTATTATTTCTGGCCAGCAGATAATTGAGCTTTGTGTATTGTAGAAACTCAATTATCTAGCCTGGCCCAGAGGAGGAGTTTTGTGTTGCATAAATTGTAAGTTCTGTGTGCCAGTAAATCAGTCTTGTTCCAGCATTAAGCCTTGGCTCATGTTTGGGGGATTGGAGAAATACACTCTGGGGATTGCTATAATCACTATACTCCCCAGGGTATGATCACTAAGTTCTGCTAAGAGCTTGTTCCTGCTCTCTGGGGAAAAAGAGGTTCACCCACTGGAAGCTGGATCCTGGCCTTGGGTCCAGGGTGGGTGGAGACAGCAGAGACCCCGGCGCAGTTGCATCGCTGGAAGTGGGGTCTGCAGTGCTGATGGTGTCGGTTGAAGTGCTTGGAGTCCTCGGCAAGCGCTAAGAGCATCGATTGGCGGAGGTACTCAGTCGGAGTGCCAGCGTTCTGTCACATTTGGTGGCAGCGGTGGGATGGCATCCTAGTGCGAGGACCAGCAGCTCGGAGACACTGGTAACGTGTGGAGTTACGGATTTATAATTGAGGGCAATGCTAGCCTCTGCGCAGCGTCCCTACCTACAGCAACATGGAGCTAGCAAGACCCTGGACAGCAGCCAGTGAATTGCAAATCCGCCTGTCACAGTGCTATGAGGGTGCTGATTTCATGAAGGAAGTAAAGGCGCGGCTCGTCTGGTTTGGCCCTAACCCTTCAGATGAGGTGGTCCATCAAGTGATGCGCATGTTGAGTGCTGAGAACCAAGACGCACGGAACTTCGAGTACCAACTGTGGAGTTTGGGGGTATTGACACCCCGTCTCCAGCGACAGAGTGAGTTACAGGGAGAGGAGAGCAGCGACCTCCCTTCCCAGCGGCAGTGCACCGTACAGAGGGAAGAGACAACCGGTCTCTCTCCCCAGCAGCGGCCTGAGTTCCAGGAGGAGGTGATGGTAGATCCCTCCCCCGTACAGCAACCAGCGTCCTGGGGAGGGGAGGCAATCGGCCTCCCTCTCCTCCACCAACCAGAGGTACCTGAGGTAGTGGACCTCATAGACGTGTCCTGGGGACACACAGAGATGGCAAACGCAGATGGGACCGCGGTCTCTGTGCCAGTCCTACAGGGAGGCTGGACGGGCGGACCAGATCCCCAACCAACCCCGCAGGGATGCCAGGAGGAGGAGGTAAGCGAAACTTCCCCTCCCCAGCTACATCCCAACCGGGTCCTGGGGGCAGTGGATGAGCCTGCGATACCCACTGACCCCCTCCCAACAGAAGAGCTGGCATCTGGGCAGAGCTCTGTTAGCCTCGCCCCCCCCTTTTCCCCTGTATCAGAGCCTGACTTACCACGGGTTACCCCAGTGGAAGAGCTGGCAGCAGGGCAGAGCGCCGCTGGCCTCTGCCCCCAAGCAACACCAGCAGTTTGCCTAGCTGCACCAGGGAGACCGAGAGTGCTGCGCTGTCCCACTACAAA